TATGGCCTTCAAAAAGTTGAGGATGACGTTGTAACGTCGAAACATGTAGAGTCGTCAACTTTTTGAAGGCCATAGATAGGCCTAAAAAAGATGTTTTTAATTGTGTACCAGTTTAATGTTGAATATTATTTATGATTTTAAGACTGAAGATGTTGAAATCGTTAAGTTTCGACAAAGAATTTTGGTTAAGACGCACGTTTTTCCTGGTTACATTGGAGGGACCATCACGATAAAACTATTCTTGTTAAAAGCTTTGACATTATTTACTGATATATTATTAAAAACGGTCAGTAAAATTGGTGTAGTCATTAAGTAGTAGTTGCTAATGATTTGCACCCATAGCACATACAAGTGTTGTTTAAAATTACAATTCTTTCCGTTCTGTTTCCTTGATAAAATCGTCGAAAATAGGCCTAACTTTTTATCTTTTTCAACAGGTAAAAGCCTATAGTTGCTGGAAGTGTAAGCATGTTCTGTATTGAGGAGTTAATGAAGCTAGCGTTATTTTTAAATATTTTGTTTAACTTATTTGACCTCGTACTCCCTGTCATGGTTCAATCTCTCACTGGTACGCAAACTGTCGTTCCGACATTTTGTTTAAGAAGGTAGCTAGTTCATCATTGCCAGTGTTTTGGTATATCACAGTTCGTAAATAAAGATACTGCGTACAAAAAATCAGTACGTAAAGATTGAAATGAGACGTTATTTCAAATGTTCTAGCAATTACACACACAAATACTGAAAGTGGGATCACAACTTGCACGTTAGAAAAAACAAACAACGGCAAGAGATGTCGGGAGTTTTGTAGTATGATCTCAGCCTAATGGGTAATGGTACGTTTATACAACTTGTACGTTTGAATATAATTAAAGTTTATCCAAGGAAATACTTGACGATTTTTACCACATGTTCTAATTAGAAGATGATCTCATTTTAAAGAATGTTTAGTAATTTCTGGTTGATCTAAACTCTCTGAACTCTCTATTTCTCGAAACCACAGAACTATATTTGGCCACTGCTTGGTTTGTGAACACTGAGGTATATATTTCTTTTGTCTTATGACACGCCAGCATTATGTAGTACTTTTTTATATGTTTTGATATTAAGCCCAAAACTACACAATGGACTATTTGTGTTGTGGGTTATATATAAATACTTTGTTTTTAATTCTGTATAGTCAACTTTGTTCAGCCTAATATTAAAAAACTTCTGTAATAAAACTGATATTTATTTGAATCTAGTCCGGGAGACTAAGAAAAATGAGTGTATTCTCATTGTTATGTTTTTTGGCGAACATTAAAATTGTAAATGATGTTAAATGTAGAAATTGTGTCATCTGCGAAGGAATCTGATGTGCAAATAGTTCCGATAAACGAAACAAGTTATGATTGTAACAACATACGGTATGCATGGACAATTAACTCGTGGCAGCAAACGATTTATAAACACATTTCACAGGCCAGGTGGTTAGGGAGCGCGACTAGCAATCTGAGGGTCGCGGGTTCGAATCCCCGTCCCACCAAACATGCTCGCCCTTTCAGCCGTGGGGGCGTTATAATGTGACGGTCAATCCCACTATTCGTTGGTAAAAGAGTAGTCAAAGAGTTGGCGGTGGGTGGTGATGACTAGCTGCCTTCCCTCTAGTCTTACACTGCGAAATTAGGGACGGCTAGCGCAGGTAGCCCTCGTGTAGCTTTGCGCGAAATTACGAAAAAACAAACACATTTCACACGGGGAAAAAAAAGTCCGTTACATTTTAGCTGTAAAACATAATTATGTTCCATTAATAAAATAAAAATAGCAAATCGATGTATTTTAGAATGACATTAAGAAAAGAGGAGAGAATGAGGATAAAAAATCTTGTGTTCGTCAAAAGTATCAGTGACGTCATGTATTAATTTGACCGCCAGACCTCCTCATTCATGTGTATTTTGGACGATTTAACTGGATGAGTAACCGTGACTATAATTTCACGGAAATATTCACGTTACTTTAGGCGCTGATTTGGATAAGTCCTCCAAATACAAGTGATTCGGTAAAGTAAATTATGAAAAAATTTCCGTAAATTAATCGTATTCGTTAATATCAATAAACACTATATAATAATAAGAATTTAAATACATAAAGTTGATTACAACAAAGGTCGCCAATTAAACTGACGATCTCGACTTTAACCAGTAAAGGGAGCCAGCGTTTCGAACCTGCTTTCTCTCGGATCGAGGCTTGTCGCCAGTTTTGGTCACAGTCAATCTGATCACAGACGGACAACCAGCAACAATTATTGTCACATGAAACTTTCGAAGCATAAAATGGCCGTCACTTGTTATAAAAACGTTGTTAGACGTAATACACCCCGTACATGATTTTGGGGTGGGAGTAGGGGATCGAGTTGAACTGGGTGAATAAGATGTGTATGGGACTGAAAAGGTTTAGGGCGGATTCTCATTAGCAGCTTGTAAGTAAGCCATTGAGCTGGAAATATGAAGTGGTTCGTGACGTGTGGGTTCGAACTAAATTACACCTAGAGGGCGGTAAATGACCTTGAGAGCCAGCCTTTTGTTACAAGACTTAAACTCACTTTTTTTTGCTTCTTCGCCATATCAGCCATGGAACTGTTGCTGTTAATTTCATACGAAACAAACTGGTGTTTTGTTATAGTATGCGGTTCTTGATCAAAAAAATATGCAGAGGGTTTACTACAGTGATTTTGTAATCAAAGTGATGTACACAATTTTTT